CCGGGTAATGAAACGTTTGCAGGAAAAGAATCAAGCTCAGAGAACCCCAAGGACTCCACAGTTCAATCCTGAGCTACACATATTTGCCTCCAATGTAATATTGGTATATCTTACAAGGTTTTGTAATCATTCCCAGGTACTGTAGATTAGTGATTGAGGCTGTAATCTAAGCATACGCATAAAAGAGTCAGTTCAATGAAACCCAATGGGAATTACTTCTAATAACAGCTTAGAAAAGCAAGCTGAATCAATTCCTGGTACAAATCTCAGCTCTTTCATCAATTCATAAGATGGCCTAGGCAAAGTATCTCTCAATCCCAGCAATTAACCAACCAATCAAGGCTAATATAATGGTGTACTGGGATTATTTGCTGATTGATTTTGTATATCACCATAATCCCTAAAATTCCCAGTGATTAACAACAACATTAAAACATTTATGGTAAATAATGAAAAAAACAAAAGAAAAAAGAAAAATACCAAAAGAATAACTGAAGTGAATGCAAATTGAGTCATCACAATTAATACCCAAACACTATCCAGAAAAACTCAGTTTTAACCAATTCCTGGACGTAATAGGGTAGGAGCCAATGTTGATTCCAGAGGCAGGGTATTCTATAAAATGCCATCCCTGAAAAATACTGTTTCTGGGCCCCAGCCACCCTCACTTCACGAAGTGGAAAACTACAAGCGACTTCCCTTAAAATGCACATTCTGGGTCAACTGAATCTAGTTGGAGAAGGCAGTCCTAAAGGTATCTAGGAGCCAAGTCAAATAGAGCTTTATTAGCTAAAATCAGCACTTTGAATTATACCCAGAAACTACTGGAAGTCAATGTAGGGCCTGTAATATGCATGTTATATGCTTATGGTGGCTTTCATCTGATAACAAATAGGTTGCTGCATTTTGTATCAACTGCAATTTTTGAACAGCCTTCAAAGGCCCATGTATACCACACTGTAGTAGTGCAGGGGATTGAGAATGAGGAGATAAGTTATCACTGTAAGGTCCTCCTGCTCCCTAGCCATGGCTTCCACCTGCTACTGAGCAGTAACTGTGACTCCAGGAGAACTCCAAGATGCAGAGCTGCTTTTTCAAGGGTAGTTACTTCCCACTGTAGTGTGAAGAAGCAATGGCCTTGAAGGATAGGAGAAAGAGCCACTACCAAGACAATTGTCAGATAAGAGGGTCCTAAGCCCAGACCAAGAAAGTAACTGAGAAAACACCTCAGACAAGCCCCTCCCTGGTTCACACAGAGATAAAGCGAGGGAGGGGGAAACACATTCAGACGACAGATAGATAGATAGATAGATAGATAGATAGATAGATAGATAGATAGATAGATAGACAGACAGACAGACAGACAGACAGACGTAAAAGTAATACAAGCTAATATACAGTAAGAAAAAGAAAAGAAAAAGAAAGAAATCAAAGAGAAAGGTAAAAGTGCAAGAAAGAAAAAAAAAGTAAAAGAATAGAAAAGAAAAAATACAAAGAAGTAGCTTCTGATCTTCTTTACAGCAGTTATAAGTACAATTATAGATTTACCTCTTAATCTATGGTTACATCATGACTCTTTTCTTTCTATAATCTATCCTGTCTAATCATCAAAACCATCAATTGTAAGTTCATTTTTTTCTGTTTTATGCAAAAAGTCCATAATGGGTTTTCAGTCAGCAAGAAACATATTGTCTTTTCTCTGATCAAAGAAATCAATTTAGCTATCTCAGAAAGTTCCATCATCTTCACCAACCATTCCTTTATTGTGGGTACTGTCAAATCTTTCCAACTTTTTGCATACAATAATCTTGCTGCAGTTATCATGTACAAAATCAAAGTTCCATGACCTTTCCCCAACTGTTTGTCCATCAATCCCAAAAGAAGAACTTCTGGTCTCAGTTGTATATTAATCTTTAAAATCCTCTGAATCAGTGTATGTATTTGAATCCAGAATTTTCTAGCTTTTTTATATGTCCACCAAACATGATAAAACGTCCCTTCTTGTTCACATTTCCAACATAAATTTGAACTGCCTTTATACATTCTAGACAATTTCTTTGGTGATATATACCAACGATACATCATTTTATAAAAATTCTCTTTAAGATTACAACATAGTATAAATTTCAATCCTTTCAGCCACATATTTTCCCATTGTTCCATCTATATATTATAACCAAAAATTTTAGCCCATTTTATCATACATTCTTTCACTTGTTCTTTTGTTTTGAATTTCAATAAAAGTTTATACATTTTAGCAATTACATGTTCATCATTTGTACACAATTGTATTTCATACTTACAATGTTCAAATCCATAAATTCTTCTGTCTACTATAAATCTTTCTAATAATTGTAAATAAGAGAACCACTGTAAACTATATCCCTCTGCCACCAGTTCTTCTTGATTTTATTATACATTCCCCTTGACAAAATTCTAGTGTGTCATGATAAGTTAGCCATTTGTTTGCCTATTATTTCTCATTTATAAAATGCTTCTTGTGCTGAGAGCCACAAAGGTGTTTTTGGGCACAACCTGGGTTTGTATCTATTCCATATACTCAATATGACACATCTAACATAATGATTTTAAAAATCTACATTAACCTTGACTTTATCATAACACAAATATCCATGCCACCCAAATCTCAGGTCAGTCCTTCTAACTCAAAAAGCCTTTTATTTCTCAGCAGCACCCACTCTTTCATCCAAACCAAACAGCAAGCTGTAAAATACAATTTTAAATCAGGTAAACTCAATCCTCCTCTTTCCTTTGCATCTTCTAACACTTTATATTTATTTCATGGTTTCTTCCCCGCCACACACATTTAGATACATCCTTCTGCCACTGTTTAAATGGTGCATCAGTTGTCAAAACAGGTATTGTCTGAAACAAAAACATCATTCTAGGCAAGACAAATCAGTTATATCCAAAAGTGGTTAAGAAATGAGGCTTGTGTGAACCTTACGTCCACATCGGCTGCCTTATGGCTGTGAGCTTCATTGGAATCCTTCAACTCCCAGCCATTCAACTCACAAGCAGACCACAAAACTTCAGTTCCCGGAGTCTATTCACAAGGAGCAACTGTCCAGAGGGCAAGTGGGCAATCTCACAATCTCTCCTTTTTCCAGAGAGACTTCGCCATCTGGCTACTTCTTCGCCAGAATTCTTCGCCAGAATTCGCCATCTGGCTACTGATCTAGCTGCAATGTCATACCCATTCCTTCAGGGACCTCTAGTTTGCCATGAATCTTCACCAGAAGCTCCACAAGATTATGTTCAACCTTTATTTCATCCAGACCCCAAAAGCCTTCTGACACTAGGTCAAGACTTCCATAGCAACTCCAGTTTGGTCCAGAGAGACGTAGTATAAACATAATGATGATACCTCACCATAAACCAATGGGTAACCTTTTTCAGTTCTAAGTAAATAATAAAGCGTAGTGGCAAGAGGACTGAAGCCTGGGTGACCCCATAAGGAAGTATCCACTTTGCTCCTCTCCCCTCACCCCCAGACTAACTGGAACCATGCACTACAGGAGTGGAACCATCATAAAACCTCATAGACTATTCAGAAGGATAAACATGGTTGATCCACTGAGAGGATAAGGAGTGGCAGAGTATCTCCCATCTGAGTCCAGATGCAATCTCAGCAACCAATGTAGTTTTAATCCCATTCCTGGACCTGAACCCTGATTGAAACTGATTCAAATAAACTGTTTCTTCTAGGGCATTCTGCAACTGACACTCTGCCTCCTTCTCAACAATCTTTCCCCAAAGAGAGGTTGAAGACTGGGTGAGTGTTATCTTGCTGGATTCAGAGAAGGCCTCTTGAGCAGTGGGCTTCTGCCTCCTTTAAGACTGTTGGCATAGTGAGACACTGACCACCTCCTGGACCCAGCCCATAACATTCCTTCCTGCTCCTTGAAGGAGGCAGAAGGGGCATGGAGCTAACCAACAGATGGTAGGATTCGTGCTAGAGTTCCATCCAGTTCATCAGTGTCTGCAGCCAAATGGAGTCCCAGATAATACTGGGGACTGTTCCTCATATTTGTGGTAATATACTTTCCTCCAGTTCTTGAGTTGGAAGGAAATTATGTCAGTATGAAAAGCAGTTCTCCATAGCCTACTTTTACTGTGCCTTGGCAATGAGGCTAATTAGTGCTGCTGCCTGCATGCACTGGAATGCAAGGTAGTCTCAAAGTAGAAATTGGTAGAATTCCTCTGTCCTTCCCACCTGGTGTCTTCTACCAGTAGGAAAAGGATCATTTTGTCTCTTAAACATGTGGAGGGGCAGGACTGGTTCTGTAGTCAGCCTTCAGCAGCAGTCAGAGTAGTTACTGAGAGTGGGTTGGGCAGTTCAGGTCTGGTATTTCTTCCTTTCTTTATTGACACTATATCTATGGCATTTCCCTGGTCTGCTAAGTTATTAACTTTATCAGAGAAGGGAGTTATGCCAGACTAAACTTGTTTTCAACAAATCCATGCTGCCTCCTGTTAATTATAGCATACCTATAATTAAATGCTAACATGGTGATTGATAATCTGCTTCAAGACCTTGCCCAGTCCAGCATTAAGATGATAGGTCTGAAGTTTCTGGGACCTTTTTTCCCTTTTTGAAGATGGATATAACATTTGCTCTCTAGTTTTCTAGTGGCTCTGCAATTACTTCTGCTAGTTCCTTCAGTACCCTGGGATGTAATCCACCTAGCCCTTAATGCTTGAATTCAGTTACATTAGCTAAATTCCCTTATACCCTCTCCTTGATTACCTTAAACTGAAGTCTCTTGTTTTCCCAATGGTGTATCAATGATCAGTTAGGGCTCCATTTCTTTTCAAAAAAAGGACAGGTGCAAAATAGGAGTTAAGAAGTTCTGCCTTCTCACCTTCACTTGTTACTGATTATTTATTACTTTCTCCTTGCAACTGACCTACACACTCTTTGGATTACCTTTAATATTTAGCATACCAAAAGAGCTTTTTTTATTTTTGGTATCTCTTGCAAGCCTTACCTCATACTGAGTTTTAACACTCCTGACAGAGTTCTAGTTTTTGGAAACTACCTTGTATTCTTCTTTGGTGATTTTTCTCTCTTTCCATTTCCTGTACAAATCCCTTTTCCTCCTTAGCATTTTAGAGACCTCTGCAGATATCCATACTGGCCTCTTTAGATTTCTTTTTTTCTTGATTTCCAGAGTTTTTCACTGTGCTTTCTATATCTCATATCATGGAAATCCCATTCTTCCTGGACACAACCTATCTTCTCTTATAGTTCATCAAAATGTACTCTTCTAAAATCCAGTATAATCATTTTTCCCCAAGATGCAAGTCATCTTCATTTCATAAATCCTCTCTGTTCTCTCCTCCACCTTTTGACAAGATGTCATGAAACAAGATGCCTTGTCATGAGGTAATAAGAATTTGTTGGACCTCTGCTTGCTTCTTCTGCTTTCTTGGACTCAATTCTTGGATGCATATTTAGTTCTAAGGTTTTATCATCCTGCCCTTTTTGTTCTGTTTTAACAACCTGTTGATGAGATTGGTGAGGCACTTCTTTCCCAGTTTTTGTAAGATTCCATCTCTTCCCAGGAGTTTTGTGAAGGTAGCTAGGTTGTTGCCACAGAATCCAAACCCTTCTTGGTGACATTATCTGTGAAGCCAGTGGTTGATTTCCAGGACCTTGTTTTCTTTTATTGCACCATGACCTCAACTGGGACTGATGGAAAAAACTACCTGTGTTCCTAGTTCGTTCACCTTCCTGCCTAAGGTCTTGCAGTCCCTAGAGATTTTTAAAATGTCTCTTCTGGCTAGGTCATTTATCCTCACATGGACCAAGAGGAAAGGTTAGCTATTGGTAGGTTTAAATAATTTCAGTAATCTCTCCATAATATTCTGTAAATGAGCACTTGGAAGACAACTCATCACATCATATTTGGTTTGTGCACAGCCACCTCAGTTCCTCTTAACAGGGAATCATCCACAACCATGATATGCCTCTTCTTTCTCCGGATGGCCTTTGGATTCCTTCAATCCATTGAAGCTCAAGTGTCTTCTACAATGTTTTGTGGCATGTCTTGCTCAGGTAGCTGAGAGGAAGAGCCCGATACCAGTTCCTCAGTTCTACTGCCTCTAATCTTCTTGCATCTTTGAGTTGGTCACATTCTTCCAGAATCAAGTGTTTGCCTCTGCCAAAGAGTTTTTTCCCTGTGGTTTGGTATTCTTTTAATTTCTCTGCTCCTTCTGGAGAGAGTCAACTGTCCTGGCTGGGAACTTTTCATCTTCCAAGATGCATCTCTCGTCAACTGCCTTTACTTTCTCCTCCAATAAGGAAACAAGCTTGCATTTGAGCAGGTGTACTTTGGGTCTTCTTCGGGCAGGAAGATAAACATTGCATAAACTTTGCAGATCACGATGATGCTTCCCTCACTGTCTATGTTGCTGTTACCCTTCTCTGCCTATTCCCTTAGTCAAACTTGGATACAAATCTTCCCTGTTTGCTTACTCTCTTTACAAGCTGCCAGGAGCTGCTTCTCTGGTTAAGGATTACTCTGGACTGAAAGAAGATGGGGAAAAAAAGAGAAAAGAAGAAAAAGGAACAGAAAATAAACAGTGTCTCCCTTTGACCTTCAGTGCCAAACTGCTGTTTTCAATCTCTTACAGTGATTGAAAAAAGGGGCAGTATGTGATTCTTATATGATTTCTGTTTAAATAATCTGTCAAAGTTTATGCAATAAAAACAGAAAAACGTGAAAGTGAAGAATTCTAAAGGCATCTTTACCAATGGTGGAATAAACATACAAAATGCACGTGGTTCAGCATAAACATATGTAAGATCATGTTTACAGAGATAACAAATCAATGCCTACCAGGGCATAACATATGTACTATAGCTATATAATATATTATCTCCTGTTACAGGGCCTTTATACCTCCAATATCAGCTGCAGAAAACAGAAACAGCAGGATGCTACTGCACTCAGATTCTGCTTGTTGTGGATTCCCTATCAATAGTCACCTAGCTGGCTACTATGGGAACAGTGAGACCTTTGATCTGATTCAGAATAATGCTTCTGCTCTTTAATAACTGACACAGAAAGAAACCAGCACATACCCAGCAGGAAGACTTATTACAGCAGCCTTAGTAGCATATGTGTGAATCTTCAGGATTAACTGCCCTGGAGATAAATGTTTCCATGAGAAACTTTCAACCATAAGTAACCCCTTGGGAATAACTTGGCTTTCTTTCTGTAAAAGTGCTAGAAAAATAGAAAACAGAACATATATTTATAATTAATGTATAACCGTACCTCTTTTTATAAATACAAAAAAAACCACCACCACCACCAACACAAAATTTGTTCTTAATCATCAGGGAAATTTAGTTTATAAATACCAGCAAACAATTTTCAACCAAATAAGCTGTAGTGAAAAAAAAGTTCATAATTTTTCTCCTGCTTTGAACTTACTTAGGCATCATGCCAGGACATGCCAGGACTTAAGAACTGTATTCATCTAAAGAAAAAAAGTAATCCAATGTAATCTTAAATATAACTACTAAGAAGTCTCACTGAGTTCAAAAGAAACATACTCTGCCATAAGCAGGAATAGGACTGAAGCCAAACACAGCTGAATGACCCCAGAGACACTTGTTTTATGTGAAAAAACCCTTAACACTGTAGTCATTTACACTGCCAATTTGGTTATCCTATGCAAATGTTCTTACAGAGGCATTAAAATTCCATGTAGTCAGAGTTAAAGGATTTTAACTTAGACACAGAAACACAAAGGGAAGCAAAATTACTTTTTTGCAAGTGCTCTTTCACTTCTCTGTATATCTTGGAGTTTTTCTTCATATAATCCCCCATTCCACTCTCCAGACAGCTTCTTCTAGAATAAAGTACTACTCTGGTTTGATGTTATATTTGTCTCTGTGTGTGCACATTTCTGTATGCGTGCATTGGGTACAGTTTGACTAAATTTTCAGTCTACAGTAATGAAAAGTTTACGGTGCAGTATTATCCAAATCACCACATTTTGTTCTCAGGAATTATATACCTAGGTAAATTGATATGGGACTGCAGTCACAGTGATTATGTTGATATTCCATCTGATTAGAAGTTGTAAATTATCTTGAAATTTCCAACTATCCTAAATATTCTGCTGATGACACAGAGCCACTTCTTGAATTTGTCCATTTTATTAGAGCACATTTTGTTGGGTGCATTCTGTTCCTCTTCTACTTAAGCCTGAATAGCCCAGTTATTTTACTAGGTATTTTATTAAGTAATCTCAATTTTTAATTTTTCAAAGTAAGGTTGAAATGTGGTAGAAAAAATAAGAGCAATAAAGATACATCAAAGACACACAGAAGCTGGAAGGAGAATCATGAAAACATTCATTGGTTTGGGCAAAGTCAGTTAACCTGATTTGAACACAGGAATGAAATGTGTTCAAGCCATTATGCAGAAAAGAAGCCATATTTGCAAAACACAGCTAAACATTTTTTGCAGAGTTTGCAGAATGAAAATCATAAAATGATCAGACAGAATTTGCAGAAGTATACATGATGCCACTAGTTGTATCTCCTTGGGGAGCACATTTCTTGCATTGAACAAAGTTTGCTGACACAGAGAATCCAAGACAGACAGAAAAGTTTGCAGATGAAGTCTTGAGGAATATGATAACAGCTTCCCATTCTCAAGATGACAGCTCCTTTTCATAGAGAATGATAGTTTGGGGTAAAGGTGAATATTACATCAAAGAAAAGAAAAATTATGTGATACATTTCTAGTATGATGAATAGGTTTTCTTGCAGCAAGAACTGAATGAATTAATCATTTTAGTTTCAGAAGTGCTCACAGACTGGATGGTAATTTGCCTGCCTGATGCACAGCCTGCCTATTTTCACACACCACTTACATAGTCTGTAGATACTGACACATATTTAGTGATTACTATGCATATTGACATCAGTGACATGGGAAAATGTAGTCAGGAATTCTTGTGTGCCAACTTTAAATTTCTCCAAAGGAAACTGAAAGCCAGTGTGGCTTTGTTTGAAATGCTTTCTGCTTCATATAGAGGGCCAATTAAACAGCGAAGCCAATGGCTTTCAATATATGACTGGGTTCTGGTATAGGCAAAAACAGTTCAATTTATTAGGCACTGCAAAACATTTTGTAAACATTCACATCTGTACAAGAATAATGGGCTCTTCTTGAATCAGAACAGAACGTTAACATCAAAAAGGGATTTCTTATACTTGGCTATGAATAAAAATCAACAGGAATCAAGAGCAGTTATTTTGAATTGAATACAGAGGGACAATATGTACAGATTGTTACGGTAATACTTGACTCCTCTGAGTCATGGTAGGAAATTTGGAAAGTCTGGTTTTTAAGCATAAAGTAGACAAAGGACATAACTAAAAATGTTGGAATTTCTTTCTCTTCTTCTGCAGGTGTAAAGGAAGCCTACTCATTTAGGTGAAGAAACTCTAAGTTGGCAATGGCAAGCCATTTCTGTGTTGCTGAAAAAACCATGGATAGCATAACTGAAATATTTAGACAAGTTTTGGTACCAAATGAGACTTCTAGGTTGGAAGGTACTCCTCTAGATATTGGGGACAAGTATCAAGCTTTCACAAGTAAATCTAGATGTGATGATGTAGTCAGTCCAAAACGAAAAGAAATCTGATCACTGATGGAGCCAGTATTGAAGGAAGAATATCTTGTTTTATAAGGATGAAGTGAAATACCTAATTAATGCTAATATTAAGAAGATAAAGGTAATTTCAGCCATTGTGCTTAGTGAACTTGAACAGAAGGCAAATAAGTAAGGGTGGTTAATAGTTTTGTTTGCTTGAGAAAGGATAAAGTAGGACAGTGCACTGGAGAAATAAGAAAATTAATCTTAGGGAAGAAAAGAATGACAAATTTAGGCAAGATCATGAAGGGTAAGGATATTTTTATGATAATAAATGTACAGGATTTTTTTTTCTATGAGTAATGTAAGAATGTGAAAGCTGGAGATTGAGAAAGAGGAAGAAAGATAAACATCTTCCAATTAATCTGGAGATGGTTACTAAGAGTACCAGAGATTGTAAAAATAGCCAATCAATGAATTGTAGACCAAATAAAGACCAACTGCTCCTTTGAAACAATGAACAACAAGTAGGAATTCAAATACTTTGGGCATGCAATATGAGCAGAAAAGGGACTAGGTAAAACTACTATGCTTGGCAAGATTGTGGGAAATGCAGCAGTGTGGGCAGTTAATGGCATCGGTTACTTGGTGCATGTGATACTTCTGCTTCGCAAGCAGCATTGGCTTCTGTTGTGCTTCTGGGTGCAATTAAAAGTGCTGTTAGTTACCTTTAAAGCCCTTCATGGTTTGCGAGAGGGTTACTTACAGGACTGTCTCTCCCCAATTGTTTCTGCCCATCGTACCTGGTCTCACAGGCGGGGCATGCTCAGAGTCCTGTCAGCTAAGCAGTGTCAGCTTGACAAGGTACTTAGGCTTGAACTTGTGTTGCAGGCTCTCAGTTACAAAACATGGCCAACTACATAAGTATCTTTATTGCATATTAGGATAGAGCCACTTGCAACGGATTGTCTTCTGTCAACATCAAGGTGCATTTCCCTTCATGCATTAATATAATTTGAGGGTCTTTGGAACTCTTAATGTGAAATGTCCTTCTTTGCAAAGTGTATTAAATGACAATTTTACTGATATGTTAATATCTGGTTAAGTCCCATATGTTTCACTGGGCATTTCTGAAAGATTATTAGCAATATAGTACAAGTAGTAGGTATTTTTTCTTGTACCTCTGCTCTTGGGCTTATTGATTTTACTGATATCCTATTGTTAGTTGTTTTGTATTATGAGCCATTCTTTTTTATGATGAGCATGCTACAATAATAAATAAATAAATAATAAAAACTGCAAAATGGATTTTAGTTGCATGTGTATTTCAGTTGAATATTCTTGACCTAAAACTATTTATATGGTAATTGTCACAGAACACTAAAAATAAGGGAAAATGCATACAGAGAGTGACTATTATTGATTTAGCTGGCTTACTCTGATTTCTGAGCAGCTCTTAGAAGAAATCCAAGATAGTAATATTAATATTACTCTTCTACTTTGTATTAATCTTACCTCCAGTGTCTCCCCAATGTACTAATGCAGAAAAGCTAACTAGAATATCAGTAGGTTTCAAGCTGTCCACACACAGGTAATACAAGACTCGATCATCCACCATCTATAAGAAGAAAAAACCATTTGTGTTTAAATTCTAATGTTGTAGCCACTAACACTTGACAGCATTTTCAAAGTATGGTATTAGATAAAGAACTGAATGTGTCAAATCATTTTATCGAAGTCATGAATGTTGCTTTCCCATAGCTATTGGTGCTGTTTTAACCAATTGATAAAAAGGTTACACTGTTTTGTATGAAGAGTTTTATATAACTTTCTAAATTATTACTTAATTGGATGTTAAGAAAAAAATGACATCAGGAAGGCTGGGTCAAAGAATAAATGTCTATATTTACAAATTCTACAACATTAGATCACAATGCTTAAAATGCACTGAAAACTTTCAAAGTGAAAAAGACAATAGCATAATTATGTTGACTTGTGGTAAATTCATTCTGATAGATATTGCTGCAAATTAAAATTAGGATGTAGAGTCTAATTTTAGTTAACTGAAGAAGTCAAGAAATAATGTATGTAAAATTACTTATCTCCAGATATCAAGTTATATTTTACTAATCTAAAATTCAACACAGCTTTATGCTTGTAATAAAGATGTATGACTATAATGACATCTTGATTCATGGAAACTAGAAGTGGACATTGGAGCTATATATGGGCAGAAAGCAATGATATACTTACCATTACCACACTGAATCAATGACATTGTAACTATTTGCAATCATAGAACAGAATATATAAAAAACAACTTAGATCCAGATGCATGCAGACTTTGACCAGACCCATTATATAAAATATATACTTGCAGCATCTACATATCTTTATTCTTTACACATATAATATCTTCATGCTATATTCTATTCTCTCTCTATATCCTTCTATTGTTTCTGAATCCTACTGTGCTCTATATGCATCCTTCCAGTACCTGCTCAGCAGAAAAGGAGAGCAAAGAGAAGAACAAGAGAAGAATTCTGAAGAATAAAAATTAAACCATCAACTGGCACCATTTAGAGCTGATAAATGGAAGTAAACTAAAGAAAGCACCTATCTATCATGATTGCATGGCCAGTAAACAAGGCTTTATTTCCTTGAGAAAGGAACTGAAAACATTAGACAAAAAAAATGTATTAGGCAAGAACAAAGTGTGAACTAATAATTCCTGTGAGAACCAGAATAGATACTATAACTTACAAAAGATGGAAGCATGGTGTTGGAAAAGCTGAGATTCTCCCACAAAAAGCTCTTTGGAAACTCTCAAATACTTTTCATCCACTTGGCCAATGGAAGTGAAAGGCACTCTCTTTTCCTTTCCACTTTTCTTTCTTTTTGCTAAGTATGTTGTGTACATTTGAATGTGTGTGTACGGGTGCATGTAGAATATATTCCAGTAAAATAGTTAGAAAATGATCAATCATGCTCGGGGCTTGTTTGGTGGGACTTCTGCTGTCTTTGCTTAGACACTGCATAAAAGTTCCCTAAAAATTTTGCAACACTTAATGAAATCAACAGAATTTTCTAGTAATTAAGTCTCACTGATTTCACAGAGATGGTTATAAGTTGACTGAATCTAATCTATAATTTTGATTCATTTTGTATATAATACTGGCTTCACAATGACTAAATAGTAATCTATTTTGTGTAAAGAAAATTGCAGTTTTCAAAAATGCCATAAAGTGTACCATGAATATACTATAAATAAAGAGAAAAGCTAACACATTAAAAATCAATTTCACCAAGGTAATACTATGGGGGAGAGGGTAAGAGGGAGAAACATGCAAGTCAGGGGAGAGGGAAGCAGTTCCCCCAGCAGTTTCTACTTTTTTTGTTTGCTCCTTCTCATTCTCCTTCTTTCTCTCTCTCTCTCTGCATCTCTCTCTCCTCCTTATTGAATTCAGTGGGAAATTAAATAGCTACTTCAATTTCAGGGCTGGGGATTTTTTTTCATCTTCTAAAATATATATTTGGGGAATGAGGGGGCTCTTAAGTTCCAGTAAATTCAAAACCTATCTCAGTCCTTTATATAGTACATAGTTCTGTGACAATTGGTGATAGCAGAATGATTAACTAGTACAGTAAAAGCTGAAAGAGATAGTCCATATGTACAGTAAACGATTCTGCCACTAAATGGTAAAAATATATTTATACAGTAAGAGCAACTTGGATTCTATTCACCCACCAATTTCTCACGATATTCTGTGGACTGATTTTTCTTTCTCTATTTGCTTGTAAACTTATTTGCAAATTGTACACCACCTAAATCACAAAGTGCTCTAAGTGGCTTACAAATAGGACTGAAGCATCAAGTAAAAATAATGACTAAAAACAACAAAACAGAATCACCAAAATAATACACAGTTGCATAAGGGAGGATAACTATCTCAACATACTCCCCACCAACTACCATTAGGGAGCAGTTTATTCCACACTACCTCAGGGAATGTCAAAAGAGTCAGCTTTTTACAGCTTTACTAAAGCCCAGCTAAGCATGGTGTTCAACAAGGCAGGATGTCTTCTACGTTCCACAAGATTACAGTGCTTTACATCTTGGACTGAGAGTATGCTCTCATCTAGTTCCTACTGCTCAAGCAGAAACAATGGAAGAAATATAGTTTCATAGGTAACCAAGTCCTGAGTCACAAAGACTATTATAGGTGACAACCAACACCTTGAATTATACCTGGAAGCTCACCAATAACCAGAGCAGCTCATGAAGCAGTGGTATTACATGTAGGAAGCTGGAAGCATGCATAATTACTTGTACAACTGCTTTTTGGACCAGCTGTGACTTCCAAGTGGTCTCCACTCTCCACATGTAGAGGTGCATTGCCATAGTCCAAATGGGAGGTGACTGGGACATGAGTGACTGTGAAAAGAGTTTCCTGAACCAAGAACCAATTGGTGCACAAGATGGAGTTGTGCAAAGGCCCTTCTGGCCATGGTTGCCACCTGTGGATTAAGTAGGAGTTGAGAGTCCAGGGGGACCCCTAAATTACCAGTGCTGCCTGGGCAGTGCTACCCAAGAATTAAAGATGGTAAATCACTGTGACCACCAGGTCCTTGAAATCAAGGCTACTCAGTCTTGCTAGGGTTGAGCTTAAGCCTGTACTTCTAAGCCTGTTGTGATAAAGCTACAAACTTTTTTCTTATTTTAGTTAATTATTTTGTTTTTTTTAAAAGATGTCTCAACTTATGCCATGACCTTGAAGTAACCCCCATTTTGCTCTTATTATATTTGAAAAGAAAGCTCCATATATCCTATGAGTTCTTGAATTCAATCCTAGGGATTATTGCACTGTACCCTAGTTCTTCTCTAATACATGGGATATTTTCCCCAAGACTCTACATTTGGTCTTTAAAAAACATATTAACTGTTGAGTGCATAAGTTATTATTATTCTAATGCTGGGACATCCGTAGTGGGGTGGGGTGGGGTCATAACATTGTGACAACACAATTAAAGTCCTTATTAATGTGTATCATATGAACATGAAAAGGGGCAGGGTTTCAATCACACAGTTATGCCTATCATTTTTGACGCCCCCATGGACATCTCTGTTCCAAAATATTACAAAAAGTAATTTGCAAATGCTATGGAGAACAGTGATTGTTCTTTTGTAAACATGAGGTATTGGTTTCTTGAATTTTCATTTGAAAGTGAAATCTTGTAGGATCTCTCAACCCAAAGTATTGTAATAAAATTGATTTTAAAGTTAATCATTTATGCTGTCAGTATTTGAATCATTTCTTTATGTTAATATTCTGTATAATAATGTTTATTTAATAAACACAAATGTTTCATCAATACAAAACTGAAATGTACTGGGATATGAATAAATTATATTGTCAATAAACTTACCCTAAAATCTGACTTCTGATAGTTATAGGCATAGGTATTTGGTTTGTGGAAAACATATAAATTCCTAAGAAAAATGAATGTGATTATTTTAGCATAAGTTATAAAAAAAAATCCCTCATGCTATGTCACACTTCACTGAATTAAGAAATATTCTTAACTTTTCAATATTAGAGGAGGAGAAGATAGAATAGTAGTAACAGTAGTAATTCATTCCCAATATATAGTAGAGCCCAAACTGACAAGCATTACTATCAATTGACAGAAATTATTTAGAATTTATAAATAACTGACAGCAATGAATTCCTTAGTTCTGGTTATCAATTCCTACTGCTCATTTAAAATCAGTTGGTAAAATTCTGGAGAATAGAGAACTATAGAAATGGGGGCTCTTGACAGAAAGATTAATTTCTTTATTGTTATCATGATATCCCTTTCAAAAAGGATTCCAGTGTTTGTGCAGGTAACCTTGGCAACTACTTGCCTTCTTGTTTGGGGTCTAAATGCAACTTACTTGCTATAAATTCAAGACAATGTTTTCAATACAAGAACATACTATGTTTTCAGAAATATAGGGCCACAACTAAAAAAAAACCCCACTGCTTCTTACTGAAAGCAAATACAGAAATCTTCATAGTCCATCCATATTTCCTTGGAAATAATGTTCTTTTCAAGTTCAATTTCTTCAACAGATTTATTTACTAATTGGTTGCTGAAAGCAGGGTCTGTTGATTCTGGTACCTGAGCAACTTCACTACTTATTTTTTCTGTAGATTCACCTATGTGGATAAGAAAAAATATAGAAAACTTTCCTCAGATTAAGACTATGCTTCTGAAAAAGAAAAGATGATGGTTTGCTGATGAACTTGAAAATATAAATAGGGCAAATCTTGATACTTCTAACATCTTAATAAAATAATGTAAATGAACATCCAATATACCTATTGAGTTAAGCAGTAATCCAATTCAGAAAACAAATTCAAAGCTCCAGAACTGGCCCAATCTGATCAAAACTGTTCTTGAGGTAATCATATCTGACTCAATGTCAACATCTGGAGAGATGAACAGGCTAATATGGGACAGGTGCATTTCTGTTTTTGACAGAATAAAATCACATTTTCAAGAATTCTAGAGCTTTAACCAGGAGTAAAATATGCCAAACTCCATAGAACTTAATGCAAGGTTTTAAACTATGCTTCTTTAAAATCTGATTTAAGTGTCTCTATCCCTTTGTTATTTTAAGACAGAATGTGGTGGAAGTTTCAGAAACACTAAGCTTCTGGGTTGGGGAACATCCATATCAAGTTTCAGACAGATGGGCTGAAGAGTTTTTTGTGTACAGTATATGGAAGGAGTGTTTGTATATTACTTTTTGAATGAGGTGAAGCTGATAGCTGTGACTGAAGTATATGGACTGAATTTATTAATCTTTTCACTAAAATCAGTCAGTCAGGAATCAGGAAACCTAGCTAATGCAACTCAATAACAACTATCACAAAACTGCTTAGAAGTAAAAACTGAGTTACAATTAGGTCAAACACATCATGGAACAAATGGTAAAATATCTCAACACCCATGTTTTCTTCAACTTATGTTCTGTGATTGAGTCACGTAATCATGATTAAATCTCAAGGGTCACGGTGATTTGAGTGCAGATGTGTCAGTCACTGAATCCAATGTCTTCTTTTTCCTATCATTGCATATTATGTAAAGAATTAAGTTATCATCTCTCCTATTTGCAGAATACCAGAGCTCCAGATAAGCAGATTGGAACTGAAATGTAATGGAAGCCCAACATTAAGAACAGGGAAGATGCAGACACACTTAGAGAAAGAAATAATCTGTTTCTTCTGCTATGTATGTACTTGTTATCAAAAGGTTATTGAAAATAAAGCAGCATTGGCAAATGGGTGTGGCAGTTTTAAGTACAATATAAGTACTACAAAGAGCTACACTGGCGATCTTCTGTAACTTAAGGACAAAAAGCAGGTTTATAACCAGCATCAGCACTATTCATCTCTTTTAGTAATGTGGATGTTCAGAGGAAGAAGGAAATAACACAAAACGTGTGGCCATTCCAGAGTCTAGAAGTCTACACCTGCACCAAAAAAAAAAAAATCTTTGCAAATTAAGTGCTGAGGCTACTGTTGGCTACAATCTTCACTTATTAACAGGACAATACAAAGAACCCCAAAGTAATGCCTATGGACAACACTATGCCCGAGGACCTGTTCCTTGGCATCCCCCAGGTTCCATGCCTCACCTGGCTTTTTTGCTTTGTGACTGTTCATGATTCAAGGCTAGCCATAGTGTGACTGGAGCACTCTCACTGGCACCCTCACTAAACCTTCATATGTAGGGTCTCAAAGTTCCAAATGGGTGCTGGGAGAGGAAAGAGAACACCTATGTTCCTCCCTCTCCTCTGTTCTTCTGAGGGACCTTCCTTTCTTTTATTTAGTTGAAGAGAACTGTGGAGTGATGGAGAAAAGAGGAAGAGGGGATCTCTGAGAGAGAAATAATGAGAGAAGAGTACAAAGAAGAATATAGAAATGCTAAGTCTTCTGAGTGAATCTCAAATGTTGGCAACCATTGCCCTGGTTAGGCAAATGTCACCATCAGCTAGTGACAGGGGCGGACAGCTTTGGGACATTAAAATCCCAAAGAAAAGACACTGAGTTTCTTTATTGTGTTTGAGAGAGTTGCTACAGCCTGCAGGAGGTGCAAAGGAGAGTGGGTCACCCAACTTGCTCCAAGAGTCATGGATAAGCCCATGCAGGCTTATACCAGTCTGATGGTCCAAGACATAGGAGATTACATGTAGATAAAAGGGGCAATCCTACAAACCCCAATGTCACCTAGTATACAGACAGACAGCAGTTTAGAAGGTATATGTATGACAGCCAACAAGGGATAAGAGAGTCGTGAGACAGGACTTCTGAATTTAGGAAGAAAATAGCTCCAGCCATATAAAAGAACAGTAGCTGAAATTAAAGAGGAAATTGTAATGGAGCAAAATTCTTATAAGTATTACTGGGCAAATGTCCTTCTAAGTGAAGGTGCACCATTCACAGCCAGGCACACAAGCAACTAAGCTGGTCAAAGATTATTTTTCCACTTGAAAGTTGAAGGAAGCATGCCAAGATCCAGTAGGCCCCAGGAAGGAGTCAGGGAAAAGAAAGAGCCAGAGAAAAGGAAGAGCCAGAGAAATAAGGGTGTAAATCCGAAAGAGACAATGGACCAGTTAGTAGAGGCCAAAACCATAGGAAGGAAGTGGGAGGGTGATGAGGCAAATTAACATGTTAATGTACACTCCTGCACTTCTCAAAGGGGAGAAATCTAGAAATAAGTCAGGCTTACAAAGCAATAATCAATTTCAGAAGACTATGCTGATCTTTGATCGCAATAATAACATTTGAATTTGAAGTCTCAGTTTCAGAGGATAATGACAAGACAGCAATATCCATGAAAACTTGGAGCAGATGAAAAAAAGAAAAGGCAGTTAAACATCAGGTCTGGAAAGCCCCCAAGCCTGTTGTAATTGGGGAGAGGCCTTTGAGAGTAAGGACACAGAGCAAAGAGGAGGTCTATGCTTTAGCCTATCCCCTTCTCTTTCAAGGGCCTTGCTTTTCCTTTATTTGGCAATGCCAGCCCTTTCAGAAGAAAAAGGGTCCAGAAAAAGAGAAGGAAAAAAAAGAGAGGAAAGAATACAGAGAAGAGCTAAAGCTATTAGAACTGAAGAGAATGCAGCAGCAGCAGCCTAATCAGCAGAGCAGACAGACAGACAGAAATGAAGAATGGAGACAGCTTCCAAACAGTTCAAATGGTAAGAACAATGAGAGGCAGACCTAGGAAAAGAACAATGGAAAATACCTACTGAGGTTGGGGAGACTTGGAAGTTACATGAGTTCCCACCCCCTGCACTACAAACCAGTTCAATTACCCCACCCCCAAAACCAGAAGCAGCTGAAGGCAACTTCCTGGAGCAGTTCAGCTGCAAGCAGGCATTCAGGCTCTCAAGGGAATCAAGATCACAGCCAGCACCAAAAGGCTGAGCAGTAAAGAGGTCAGCAGTAGCAGCTACTATGGCAGACAGGCTATAACAAGTCTGTGTTAGAGATGCCAACCCTTCTACCTTGGAACTCACTCACCCTGCCCCCAAGTAACCCATCAGCTATGGGCTGGCTGGGTAGAGAGGGCTGAAGGGAAAAAAAGGCTGAAGAGAAGCAGACCCAGGAGGATTGGGGGAAAACGGTTAAGGTAGAATACCTAGTAAGAAAAAAAAAAGAGTACAATATAGAATATAGAATTCTATATATATATTCTATAGAATATAGAATTCTATATACACTAGAACTAAATGCAGATTAAGATTTGAAAATATAGAGCAAAAGCAGCAGGAAGTAAAATTCCTTATATTATAAAGAAAGCTTTATCCTACTTTAAACACTAGTTATTGGTAATAGGCTGTTCTTCCATAACTTTAATGTCAGCAAGTTTATCATTGTTGTTCCCATTTTTAAAATGCTGTTTTTTGAACTGATATTTTCATTATTTAGTTGATTTCCAAGCCTACTATTACTATTATTAACTGTTTTTCTCTTATTAATCTTCTGTAAATTGATGATTTTATGGATAATAGAACATGTAGAACTATTTCTACAGGTATAGCCTCATTTTGTTAAATAATTATTCAGTGTATGTAAATAATATAGAATACTATATTCAAATTAACAATATTTCAGTTCTTCATTTCACTGACTGATATTTTATTTCTTCCACCTTAATTTGTATGTTCAGTAAGTTGCATCCATATTCATATATATAACATGGAGATTTTGATCTCAAGCAATTTAGTTTAAGATCGAAATCTTTATTATAAAACAAATAATAATATGCTCTTCCTTCATTTTTTCATTTCATTTCCAATGTTATATTTAATTTTGAAGAAAAAGTCAAATAATTATAAAGCTTATAAGATTAATATCCAACACTGTAATTAATATTGATAGAATATCCACTTTTTCTTTCTTTTATCTATATTCAATACTCTAAGGCATCCAAATAATAGAATATTAAGAATTTATTATATAAATATCGTATTGAAATAAGATATTGTATCAAAACTGAGAAGATGGAGCAATAGATGACTCCATAAGTACAGTGACCATATGTCCTTTATTATATAGGGCAGTCTTTTATTTCAGAAAGCTGTCCTTTAGATGTATTTAATTATTTATTTTCTTGGTTTTGCTCTTGAATTTTTCTTTGTAAAGCAAAGTTATAAACATAAACTTTTTTTTTTTTGTCCTTATGAACATCTTTCAGATTTGCTCCTTTTTCAGGTTTGTTCTTTATTTTTTCCAAGAAAATATCGTCACGGTATCTATAAGGCTAGATTTAATAATATGTTAAAGGATTGACCTAGTTATATATTCACACTTTATGGATATATTTTCAGTTTCTTCAAATGCCACTTGTTTAATCACTATTCTGCATAGTCTCTTCTGATTTTATTAGTACTGTTATATTTTTGGTTGTACTTCATCATATCTTCTGGTTGTTATAATTCACTAAAAATATTTTTTACAAAGCTGCAGTCCAACATTTCAATGGCTTAAAAATTTTCACCCAATATTGAAAATAAAATAGCTTTATATTTTCTTAGTAAAACTTAGTAAAGTCTTTTTCTAGCACATGTCTTCTGTGAATGCTGGCTTAAGAAGTATTCCAATCATTTCTGACTAAATAATGGGTATCTACAAAGTGATTGAATTGGGCTTATTTATTGTTAATTATATTTAAAATATAATTTTGAACCTAAGCCAATTATTTTTATTGGCCAAAATTTTTTTATCTTGATTTTAGAACATCATTCTTGGCTAAATGTTTACACTAAAGCAAAACATGCTTGTTTGTTTTGTTATAGTGATGGTGTTTTTTCATTTATGATTTGTAACAGTTTCTACAGCTGAAAGTTACAGCAAAAATACCATTAATTCAAAATACACTGAGAAAAAAGCACAGGGTTATTGTTTTTATAAATGTCACATTTCAAAACTAGCATTTTGGCTGTCCAGAGTTCCATTTGGTATATGGCCAGCCATATAAATTTGTTTAATAAATAAACATCCTAAGAACTGTAAAGCCAAGGGCAATGGGTTCAAATATTAATTCAAATCCTGGATGTGCTGATGGCTTTGTGGTAATTTCTGTTCTGCCTGATGGCAAGAAAACTGTAATGTAAGTTCTTCTACTATAAGATTGATGCCATTCTCCCCTTTTAACTATTATTTCATGTTTACATTCTGTGTGCCTCGTAAACTTGGTAGTCTATGTAGTTGTGTCTAACTTATTCTTACTCTCATATAACATAGTATTTTTTTCACAACAATTTTTATGCAGCACAGAACTCTGGGGATCAGATGAAATGGTCTGGTACTTATGGAATTTCTGTGATCACACACTTCTTTCTTTTGCTTGTGAATCCCACTTCACTTTATTTCACTGACCACTCCAGTCAATGCCAGCTCTGAATGGCTTATAGATCTAACATATGTAAGCAGGATTTAAACAATCAAAACAATTGAAATTAAACAACAGACCAATTTACAACAATATCCATTTCATGTATAAGGGAATAATAACACTGTAATAAACAGATAATCTCTTTGGAGGAGGGGAGAAGCTCATACCATATTCATCCTCAGGGTCTACTGGAACAGCTGGATTTTAATGGTTGTTATTAATTATTAAGGTTTAATGTATCTGAGCTGTTAAAGTATGCCTTGCATTTTTTAATATTGTACAGGAAATGGGAGAAGGAAGCAGAAAGGAATGCATGAGCGTTCAATTAATTCCAGAAGCACCAAAGAATGGTTTATAAATATACTAATCCTGGGTTGAGCTTCCATACTCAAGGAGCTTTCTCATTTAGCTTCCTATAGTCATAACTATGATGATGCCAAAGGGACAACATATGCATTGTGACATTATGACGCTAGCCCTGTCCTTTTGCACTTGTGTTGTGACATTGCACACAAGTGCACAAGCTGCCCAGAGTCACCCTCTGGGGGAGATAGGCAGCATATAAATTTAATAATAAGTAAAATAAATACATAAGGGTGGAGTTTGGACAGCAATGCACATTTTGTCACTTGTTCCTCTTACCATCCTTCTGCAGACACCTTTGTCCTAAGGCTGCTTATTAATTTTGTCTCTAATAATAATACTAGTAATATTTAATCATTATTAATGATTATTAACTTTTAAAATAGTGTTCAAAAACTTCACAAGTGTGATCTAATTGCATATCAGCCATAAGGCAGACTGAAACTGATTTGCTTAATATCACCTAGTGATTCCACTGCAGAGATAAAACTGGGAATGGGGAATTCGTTGATTGTTATGTTGCGACACTTCAGAAAAGTTTTGTAGTGGTAGCAGGAAACTGCAATTCTGTCCTCAAATGTGTGCTTGGCACCTTTTGGAAGGCTGTCCTGTTCTTTTATGCTTTTAATATCAGCAGGTGACACCTAACATTCTGCTACAAGACTTTCAGTCACACAATAGAGCGTGTCTTACCTCTCTTCTTCCCTTCTTATGCCTAAATCTGCTCTAGAAGGTCCCATTGTGCTGATAAATGGATAACAATGGGTTTCATCCAATTGATCCCTTTTCATCAGCAACATTTAAACTATTTTTATACTGCTTTTCATTGCAATTGTTGTTATAATTTTGGTTCCCCCCCCCCATTTTTAATTAAGTATTTAGGCTTGAGGCTAAATAGGAGGTAAAATTCTATAAATATTTTTTTTAATTTTTAAACTATTAGAACATAGTTATGTTTACCTTTAGTGGATCCCTCAACAGTGTGTTGTGGAACTAAAGTAGATTCCTGTAGAGTAAAAGACACATGTTTAAAATAACCTTGTTATAGCAATATAAATAATATCTGATCATCTAACATTATTTAAGAAGTTTCAACCTGTAATTCTGTGCAATACACATATTTACTTGTAATACCAAATAGTTCTGGTCCACTCTTTTGTCAATGCAAGAGCTCTCTAACATTCAACATTCAAGGGATTTCTGAATTCTGCTTAATAAAATTGATCAAGAAAAAGGTTAAGTTGATCACACAAGAATTCCAGTGAGCTAGCCTGGATATCATTTACACAATGACTCCTAGCCTCATTATCAGTGTGAAAATCCACTCTTTAATTAGAGGCAGATTCTTATCATGATGAAACTAGTCTAAAAACATTCTGAATACTCTCTTTTTTATTAAGCATAAGAAATGTTGAATCATTTGTATAATTATCAGTCTTGCAGTGTTTGTGACTGATCAATTTAATACAAATTAGTTAGAGCAGCCTCATATGGATTTGCAAAGAAAACAGGAGCACTGTCAAGCCTCAACAGATTTTTGCATATGATTATTGGAATATGCTGTGCTTGACAAGTCAAAAGGTATGTAAACTTCCTTTAGTTTATATTTTACCATTATTTGTAATTTGAAATTCCAAATTAACAACATTTTGAAAACTGAATCTATCAGAATTAAGAAATGATTATCATTCACAACATTCTTTATACACATCTGGGTTTCACCTTGTCATCCACCTTATTCACTATATATGTGACACTGTTAGATGAGAGCATCAGGACTTTGGGCTTTATTGACATTCTTTTTCATATATTATCAGAGAACTTAGTCACTTACGGAATAATTTGATACCAACAACTAGTGATAATTCTGTCTTCAGTCTTCAAATTCCATCTCAGGACTGACTTTGAACTGCAGATTTACATCTAGTCTAATTTTTGGATTTTCTTGATCCTTTCCTATTGCTTTGATTGAGACATCTTGCATAAGGAAGAGTTCTGAAGAACTAGAAAACGTTATTCAACTAGAATACTTCTTTTGTATTATGTATTGGTCTTAATGGGCTAATAAACTGAGGCTTAATCTTAACAATGTATTACACTTAGTGTACACTCCAGATTCAGCTTTGTATCTGGAGGCACAATATAAAGAGTAAGACTATACAAACCACTTGCAAGGATGCTTTGAACCTACTCTGAGTGCTAAGATAAATGCAGGAAAGGGGTTCAAAGCAGTCTTGCCAATTTTCTGAGAGATGTAACCATGTGGATGTTCTAACCAGAGGCTTGAAGGGACACTAATTGCTTTGCATGGTCTCTTTTAGAATGGTCTGGACATCTGTAATAAACAGGAGTGTCAATTGTTTCTGTTCCTAAAGAAATTAGACCTAGCCATAGTGACACATACCTTAGTTTCAAAGGTCTAGTTACATCTAGACAGCATCACTCTAATGTGTTTTATTTGGAGCTTTGAAGAACCTTTGGAAACTGCATTTGGTCTAGAATGGGCATTCTGATGATGGACGTTCACAGGCAGCATGATAACCAGTTCATTTCTGGTTACCATGAAAGTGTTAGTGATGACCTTAAAGCATTAAAAGGCTTTAAATCCTCCCATATTCAGAAATCAGATAAAGATGCTCTTTTCTACACTTCAAATGATATAACAGGACAGGCTAAATTGCCTTCTTAAGGGCTACACATAATGGAACTTCCCTTTGTAAGACAGAATTTCAACTTTCCTGTTGGCTGTTTACTAGTTGGTGAAAACCTCCTTATTTAAGGATGCATTTCTTTTACATGGAATGTAAATCATTTTGCTTTTTATGATATTTATTTATAGTATTAATATACATTCCCAATGGTATACGACAAAGCAGTATATAACATAAAATCCATAAACTATCCATCCATCCCAGTGTCTGTGAACTGGCAACAATTTTATGGTAAAAATTACAGATTAAAAGCTTTATGAAACAGTTCTATCTTCATGATCTTCCTAAATGCCATCAGGAAGCATGCCATTTGGATCTCTTAGGATAGATTATTACACAGGGGTGGAGCCATAATAGAAAAGCATTGTCCCTAACCTCATAGAAGTAAGGGACTCTCAACATCCTTACTTGGGAAGAATGGACTGAATGGGTTGGTTTTACTGGAAGAAGATGGTTCTGGAGATACTGAAGTGCTGAGCCATGAAGGAAAATCACAGCATTTTGAGCTGTCTTTGGAAGTCTACTGGTATTAGCTACTGCACAGCACTTGCAAAATTAATGTTAAATGGCTGCAATGACTCTCACTCTTCAGTATGCAGGCCACTGCATTTGTATCAACTGTAGCTTCTGGATAATCTTCAAAGGCAGTCCCATGTAGAACATGTCTTAAAGAAATGAAGGAATGAGTTACTGCTGCCAGAGTCTCTCATTCTAGGAAGGGCTAAAAGTGAAAGTCAAAGGTGGGTCAAAGGTTCCCCCAGCCACAGTCTCCATCTGCTAATCAAACAGTAGCCATGAGTCCAAGAGAACTCCCAAGCTGTGCACCTGCTACTCCATCCACATCACAACTAGAGTTGGGAGAGAGCTAGGTGTTTTCAGAAAATAGTAACTCCACCTTGCAGGGATTCTTCATCAGCTTGTTCCTTCTTATTCAGTCCCTCAGAGCCTCCAGATACCAGATTGACTTCCATTGCATCTCCAGACTAGCTCCAAGTGGAGATGCATACTGACAAGTTTTCAGACTGAACTGGCAGATGACCTCTCACAGAAGCTTCACATGAATGTTTAAGAGCAGGAGAAAGAGACAGGTGAACCTTGTAGCATGTTATATGTTAGCAACCACCAGGTTGATCTCTCCTTCCCTCCACCATTCTGGAAGGAGTAAAATCACTGTAACCCAATGCCCCCAATTTTCAACTTTTATAGGGAGCCCATACAAATATCATAATTAATGTTAATGAAGGCTACTGAGAGGTCTAGAAGGACTGGGGGGGGGGGCATTCCCACCCAATCAGGTCTCAACTAAATCTATCAACTACAACAACCATTCAGGGCCTGAAACTAACTAAAAGTGATCTAGATAAGCTGCTTCTTCTAACCACAGTCTCACCGCTTTCTCAACAATATTCCCTAAAGAGGAAAGGTTGAAGACTGAGTGAAAATTGTTCAAAATAGCTGGAACCACAGAAAGCTTGTTCATGAGGAAGACATTACAGTGATTGTTACTTAAGTTATTTTCAAGACAGCCAGCACTACTCCCTCCCTCTGTGAAGTATTGACTCTCTCTGAGATCCAGCTGATCATGCCCAGCCAGCTTCCTGAAAGAGTCAAATGGGGTAAGGATACAGTTTACAAGGGGTGGGGCCAATAATGCTGTATAGTTCTGTATTCACTTTCTCAGAACTAACAAACCAAAATTATTCCCAAATAACCTCGTAGGATCTTAGCCCAATTATCTTTTCATATTCTGCCCAAGTGGAATGTAGATCGGATTATATCTGAGCAACTGTATTAGTGAAATGTTAGTCAAACGTTGCACAAGTGGCCTAAAGTGAGCTCTTCTTGCCTATCATTCCTTAGAAGGGAGGAGATCACTCTAAATAGTGCCACTGAAGCACAGTCTGCTGATGCAATAAGGACAGAAAAATAGATGCTTTGCTGCCCTTATTGCCATGGTGTAAGCTCAAGTCTGAGCTCTTCTCTGTGTTTCGTGAAACTCGCTTTTGGTCTTCCTCTCCCATTGCTCTATGTGTCTCATCAATTGTTTCATTCCTTGGAGATCCTTGATAAACCAAAGAGCAAACAAGGATTAAGAAACTGGGAGAGAGGCAATCTCTAGTCACCTCTCTATTTTAGAGTTTGACCACATTTTCAGTGGAATTGCCTCCATATTATTGGGGAAACCCCAATGACCTACCAGAATCGATCTGGATCAATGAGGCATTGGGGTCAATTATCTCAAATAGGTCTTCTCACTCTGTGGAGGGTGGCTGTCTTGGTATGTCTCATCTGGATATTGCCTTATATCAGTTTTTAGTTAGATAAATATAAATATACACATCTTAAAATCTTAACCTGGGAGTTTTCTTCTGTACTCATGGGATTCATATCTCCATAAACATCAATAATGCTTTCATCACTTTCAGTGACAGAAGGAAGATTGGATGCTGGAAGAGATCCCTTTTTAAAAGTGGATGGTGGAAAATGGCTAAGGAAACACAAATAAACATTGTTTAAAAAATAAAAGCAAACTAAATTCTCATCTTCTTGTTTAGAATGCTTTTCCCTTCATAATTTTGATACATGGACTGGATATATGTCTCATCAATCCTAGTTACCCTGAAATCTTATTGAATAGCTGCCTTTAGAATATAAATCAAATAAATAATTATGTACATATCCATTTCCCCCTGGAAATTACTTTCAAATTAGGTAGTTCTTTCTAGTCTTCTTACACACACACACACACACACACACACACATCTTTGTGTCTCTCCTGTTGCAGTAACTCTATGCTTGTTAATTCCTCTCCCCCCTTTCACTTATTTCCTCACCTCAAACCAAACAGTTAATATGAATTTTAAATCTGGTAAGACCTGTATCCTACAATCGATGAAATTGCTTTGATTCCAGCTCCATTAACAAGGGAAGACTTGAACTGATATTTCTATTTATATAATAACTGGTCCACAGTACATAAAATATAACAGAAGGATATGGTACATAAGTTTAAAAGTCCTTCAAATATTAAAACATCCTGAAGGCAGTTAACTGCAGAAATGATGTTCTATTATGCTTCAAAAATATCCCTCAAACTCTAACATAATGTCAATCCATGGGAAGTTTTGGTATATGTCATGGTGTATTTATAGGGGACGTGGTGGTGCAGCGGCTTAATGATGCTGAAAGTTGCTGGCCAGAAATGGTCGACGCTTCAGCGGTTCAATTCCAGCCTTTTTGTTTGCAGGGTGCGCTCCTGTTTCCTCCCCAGTTCCTGTATACCCACCAGTTCGAAAAATCACATTAGTAGA